GCGGCGGCTCTGGGAGGAGGAAGGTAGGCTGGGTGGGGCGGCGCGGGGATCGAGGCGGCGGGCGCTCTTGGCCTGAAGGGGGCCTCGCCCGCAGAGCGGGGCGAGAGGAGAAGTTGTACTTGGTAAAGTTTAGCTTGCCTTCGTGAAACCGCCAACCCTTTTCATACGTACCGGCTCGCAACTGGGGTGTGAATATGAACCTTGAGCGCTGCCAAGCTGGCAGCCGCCCCCTGGCCGCATTCCCTGGGGAGAATGCTTTGTGCATGAGCACATCTGGGTGGCCAGCTGCCCAGCCCACATATTGACAGCAGGGGACCTCTCGGACACTTGCACACGCTCCTTTTCGCGCCCGGCACAGGTGCACTCTAGCTTCTTGGCCTGGATGTGAGGCAGTTATTCCTGGAGGGGAGACCTCCCAGGGCCCCAGCTGTACCCTTCTGGCCAGGCCGACCCAGTGTTTCTTCTGAAGGACCCAGGTTGGGAATGAACCGAGGGGGATGTTGTCAGAACCTCAGCAGGGTCAGGGCAAGGTTAGGTGCGGATGAGGCTGTGGCCCAGATCAGAATGTTACCTGGAAATTTGTCTTCTGTGTCTGTCAGGCATCTCATAGTCCCAGGCACAAGCCTGATTTGCTCTGAAATGAAGGGGCGGTTGTGTGGTGGGTTCCAGGCATCCCCTCATGGTACCCCATACCCCCAGGTTTCCACCAGATCGCCCTGAACAAGGTGGCTGTGCTGCTGCTGGCTGGTGGGCAGGGCACTCGCCTGGGCGTGACCTACCCCAAGGGCATGTATCAGGTGGGGCTGCCCAGCCAGAAGACCCTGTATCAGCTGCAGGCAGAACGGATTCGGCGGGTGGAGCAGCTGGCTGGCGAACGCTATGGGACCCGCTGCACAGTGCCCTGGTGTGCCCTCTCTGCCTTACCTTGGCCCCAGAGTGTCCTGCCCCACGTAGCCCCAGTCCTGCCCCCACCATGACTTGAACCCCAACCCCTGACAGAGCCCAGCGCCCACCCAGACAGAGGCCTGACCGCTGCCCTAAGACTGGGCCCTGATGCCAGCCCCATCTATCGGGGGCCAGACCCCCCGAAAGGCGGGCTAACCCTGACCCTCGCCTCTGCTTGCAGGTACATCATGACCAGTGAATTCACGCTTGGGCCCACGGCCGAGTTCTTCAAGGAGCATGACTTTTTCCACCTGGACCCCAACAACGTGGTCATGTTTGAGCAGCGCATGCTGCCTGCTGTGACCTTCGATGGCAGGGCCATCTTGGAGCGGAAAGACAAGGTTGCCATGGCCCCAGGTACGCCCCATCCCTGAGGCAGGGAGGGTACGCCTGGAATGTGAAGCTAGCTAGGGGTCAGGAGACCCCGGATGGAGGCCAGAATATGCTGCCCCGAGGCTGTGTGGTCCTGAGCGAGTGGCTTCCCCTCTCTGGGCCTTGATTTCCATCTGTCACATGGAACAACCACAGGGCCACTTCGATAGTGACAGAGAGCTGCCTCAGGCACAAGGTCCAGCCCCGAGGGGCCTCCCCTGCCTCTCGCATGCCCTCAACTAGCTGGCTGAGGCCTGGCTGGAAGCCTCGCAAGGCCCATCCCTTTCTCCCTCCGCAGATGGCAACGGGGGCCTGTACTGCGCACTGGCGGACCACCAGATTTTAGAGGACATGGAGCGGCGAGGAGTGGAGTTTGTGCACGTGTACTGTGTGGATAACATCCTGGTGCGGCTGGCCGACCCGGTCTTCATCGGCTTCTGCGTCCTGCGTGGCGCGGACTGTGGCGCCAAGGTGAGTCTGCACGCCACCCCGCCTTGCTCCGCCCTCTTCCCCGTGCGTCTCACTTCGGCCCCGCCCCTTGCCCCGCCCCGCCCCGCCCACCTTGCCCCGCCCCAGGCAGCTGCCCAGCCCGTCCCGTGGGCCGCAGGTGGTGGAAAAAGCCTACCCCGAGGAGCCGGTGGGCGTGGTGTGCCAGGTGGACGGCGTCCCGCAGGTGGTGGAGTACAGCGAGATCAGCCCTGAGACCGCGCGGCTTCGTGCGCCGGGTGGGGGCCTGCTCTACAACGCAGGCAATATCTGCAACCACTTCTTCACCCGAGACTTCCTCCAGAGGGTCACCAGGTGTGCGCGGCAGGGAGCGGTGGGTGCTGGCCAGCCAGGCCAAGGGGCTGGGGCAGAGCTGAGCTGGGTGGGGCTGCGGATGGGGGTGGAGAGAGGGGCTTGAGTTGAAGCGAGCTGGAGGCACCAGAGTTGGCCTGGCCCTCCTCCAGTGGAGCGGCTGCCGCCCACAGGCACCACTTCCACCCCACGGCTTTGCGGCTGCCTCTGCGCTTGGGCAGGAGTGTGGCGGATGGTGCCTGGCTCTCATGTGAGGTTGCAGGAGACTCTTACCCTCCCAGCGACGTGGCTTGGCCCCCACTGCTCTGTGCTGGGTGTGTCCGCCTGCCCGCCTGCCCCAGCTCCAGGGGGCTCCAGGGTGTCCTGTCTGAACTGTGTCTTTCCCCCTTTGTCCTCTTGTCCCCAGGGAGTTCGAGCCCTTGCTGAAGCCACACGTGGCTGTGAAAAAGGTCCCCTACGTGGACGAGGAGGGGAATCCAGTGAAGCCGCTCAAGCCAAATGGAATAAAGATGGAGAAGTTCGTGTTTGATGTGCTGCCGTTTGCCAGGTTAGTGAAGTCCTTTGCTTTTTCCTTCTTCCCTTGTCCTAGTGGTGGCTTCTGAGACCCGCCTGGCAGGGAAGTGGAGGCTGAGGGCTTCACCGTAGGGGGCTCAGGGAGAGAAGGCCAGAGGAAAGGCCCTGGGGGTGCGAGCATAGGGACCACCTGGGGCCGCCAGAGCCCTTTAGGTTGTGCGCTTTGGGAGACACCTGTGTCCCCTGCTGAACCCACCATCTGCCCCTGGCCTGGGGCTCAAAGCTGTTTCCAGGTGGGGTTGCTGGGGGCTCCCAGGGTATTTGGTCCTCCCTGTGGGGTCCCGGGTTCTGGCTGCTGGGAAGGGGAGCAAAGGGAGGACTTCAGGTAGCTCTGAGGGGCTTAGGAACAAAGACTCATGCAGTGCCTGTGGGGCCCTCCCTGGCCTGCTGCCCACAAAGCGGCCCCCACTTCGTCACTGTAACCTGGTCTGGCCTTCAGTTGCGCAGGACCAGGCCTGTGGGCCAGGACATTGAGTCCTCAGCTACTTTCCCCACCAGGAACTTTGTGGCCTTTCAAGTGCCGCGGGAGGAGGAGTTCTCCCCACTGAAGAACGCGGATTCGGCCGACAGGGACAACCCCTCCACGGCCCGGCGAGCCCTGCTTGCTCAGCACTACCGGTGGGCCCTGCAGGCGGGAGCCCGTTTCCTGGGCCCACGTGGAGCCCGGCTCCCGGAGCAGCCAAGGTGAGCGGGACAAGGGAGTCAGGGTGTTACAGCCCCGGTGCCCTGCTGGCTCTGCCGCTGTCTAGGCTGGGGTGGGGGCTTCTGCCCAGCACCGCGCCGAGTGCCGGGGCCGTGTGCCCCCCTGGCCGTGGTGCCTGCCCCTGCGGCCTTTTGGCCCAGCCCTCTGAAGTCTGCTCGGGGCCCTGGGGTAAGTGGGGACCACACCCTCCCCTGCTTATTCAGAAGTTCTTTGAAGCCGAGACCCAGCCCCGACAAACAGAAAGCAGTGGGCAGATCTCTTTGCAGGGCTGGGAAAGAAAAGGCCCTTAGGTGTCCACCTCCCCAGGTTGTCCATGGCCACCACCTAACCTGGCTGCACAGGCTCTGGGATGCCTGTGGAGGGTGGAGGGGTGTTTTCCAGCCCAAATCAGGGCCTGTTTCTCAGGTGGGGCAATGCCCAGGGCTCTAGTGTCCAGAGAAAAAGGAGATTGCCGAGACAGGGCAGAGTGTGTGGTGGACAGCCTGCTAGGCCAGGCAGGGGCTGGGCCGGCTCCTGTGGTGGGTGGTGCTGGGGCGGGTGGTGCCGGGGTGCGCATCCCAGCGCAGATGCTGACAGGCGGGCTCCCGCAGCCTGCCCAGCAGCGGAGAACCTGCAGCCGTCTGTGAGATCTCGCCTTTGGTGTCGTACTCTGGAGAGGTGAGAGCCACCCGGCCCGTCTGGGTCTTCTGGAGTGGGGCTTGCGTGATCAGAGGAGGGCCAGGGCGAGGAGGGTGCGGGGGGAAGTCCCAGCTCTGCGCTGGTTGACCGGTGGGGTAAGGAGTCCCTCAGCTTGCGGAGGACTTTCTAGGATGTGGGGCGTGGTGAGGTGTCCAGAGGCCTGGGAGGGTTGGGAGAACAAGCAGGCTGGTCTGCGGCAGGGGCCTGGGCCAGCTGGGCTTCCGTGGGAGCCCCGCTGGGCGGGCAGTGCCGCGTCTTCCCTTCTCTGGTAAGTCGTGGCCGGAGCTTGTGGGAGGGCTTATGCTGGCCTGAGGTCTCGGGGAGGCATCCAACTCCTGTTCCTGGGAGAGTCTCTGGCCCTGCCCCTCACTGGCTCCAGGCTGAATTGGGACCCCACCCCCCACCCCGGGGCCAAAAGAGGTGGACACTTGGCTGTCATGACTTGCTTGTTTCCAGGGTCTGGAGGTGTATCTGCAAGGCCGGGAGTTAAGGTCCCCGTTCATCCTGGACGAGAACCAGGCCAGGGCACTGCAGCCCTGACTCCCTCCTGGCCCTGCCAGCCCCGGGTCCCCACGGGTGAGGACGCAGCCCCGGCCAGGGCTCTGGGTGGGAAAGCAGGCTGCCACGTGTTTCTGGCCTGCGGAACATGGAGCACAGAGGGAAGCGTGCTGGTCTCCTCCACGACACTGGGGACTCTCCCATCACTGGGTCCCCTGGACACAAGCGACTCTGCCCTGCTGTGGGCCAGCGCGGGCTCTCCAGCTTCCCTCCTGGCCATGGGGTCTGAGGGTCTCAGGACCTCGGACAGTGGGGCTCAAAGGAGGCTAGGGTGGGCTCTGGGGGAGGAGTGCCTGGACAGAATGGTGGTGGCTCCTCAGCCCCACACCCAGACCCCGTGGTGAGGAGCACTAGCCACCCCGAGCTCTTCTGCGGACAGAGGAGGGGGACGACGTCTTTCCCTCCAGGGTGCCGTGTTTGAAGGGGCTGCCCCTCCCTCCCTGGCAGCTGAACTTGGGGGCCGCGGCCCAGCCCTGTCCCCGCCCAGCTGAGGCCGGCAGCAGCAGGCGTCCGATCATCCCAGTGAAGGGCTGGCTGCACCAGGGGAGCTGGCTCCCCAGGAGCTGGGCCTGCGCACTCGAGACAGTTCTCTCGATTTCTGCCATCCAAGGCCTCAGCCCCTTGGTCTCTCTTCTGCAGCCGGTTTAGGCTGCTGGTTTGGTGCTCCCCCAGGAACCAGTGGGACCAATACTGGTGGCCTCCTGTTGGGGCTGATTAATCAGGAGTTGAACCAGGAGGGCAGTGCCACCCTTTGCCCAGCCTGCCTGTCGCTCTGGCAGATTTTGGTGCTCATGCCCCTCTCCTGTGCTGGGGGTTGGGGAGGGGAAACAGCCTCCACATTCGGGGCCGGGGTGCCCTTGCTGCAGCGCTGCAGCCCGGCTGAGGCCGGGAGACACCAGCTGACCCTGGTCCCTTGCCCCTCCCTGACTTTGCTGCTCTGGAGAGCAACACAGTGGCACCTACCTCTTCCTCCTGATGTGATGAGTGTCACAAAACACGTCGCTGCTCGGCCGAGGCTGCCTGCCCCCCCTCCCCGCTCCACCTCAGCGCGCGGCCCGTGTGGAGCCATGGCTTCCCCAGGGAAGGGTGTTATCCAGGGGTGGGTTCAGATGCAACGGTCCCTCCAGTAGCCTGGAGCGGATGGTGGCTGCGTCCACACATCCCATCCTGGGCGTGATGGTGGGGTCAGGGCCCTGCCCAAGGCCCAGGGGACACTGCCCCACCCAGGCCCTGCTGGGCTTCTCAGACTCAAAATTGAGCCCCTTGCCTTAGTGCCCTCCCGGCTGCTCCACAGGCGAGCAGAGGGCCTGGGCAGAGGAGGGTCCCTCGGGCAGAGGCCGTGGTGCCGGGTACCGCCCCAGTCCCAGTGGGACACCCGGGCAAGCTCTTTTCTACACAGGTAGAGATAGTTGGGTAAGCTATTGAAACAGCTTGCTTTTGGAAAAACTTTATTTTCAAGTCAGTAAACTTTTTATTATATCTTTACATAGAGTCTCAAACAGCACAGAGAGGTCCAGGGCACCCTTCCCCGAGTTCCCGTAATGTTTGCATCCTATGTGGTTGGAGGATGCCGCGAGGCAGGAGACATTGGTAGAGCTGAGCCGTTTGTCGCAGGTGTGGCTCCCTGTGCCCACTCTGCATTCAAGAGGCAGCAAGGTCAGTTGGTGCCATCACCACAAAGACCTCCCTCCTGCCTCCCTCGTAGCCACACCCCACACCACCTCTCACCCAGACAACTGCTAATAAAATAACTGAGTTTTGAGAGACTGCCAAACTTGTTTTTCCACAGTGGGGGGGGGGTTCCCAGTAAAGCCCACGTACAGTGATTGATCCCTGGCCTGGCAAGTGCAGTTTCCGACCAGCACACGTGGTGGGAACAGCGCAGGGTGTTCACAGGTCTGCCTCCATCCAGGGCTGCAGCCTGCTGGGGGCCCTTTGGGGACGAGAGCCCACACACTGAGCTGAAGCCGCTCTGGGCTGCCCCCTGTCCCGTAGTCCCGTCCAGCTCTGCCCAGGCTCTCAGGGGAGCCCGAGACAACCTAGTGAGTCAGGCACCCTGAGGGCCGGCCCAGAACCTGCCCCTTGAGCCAGTGCTCCAGGGATGGGCTCCTGCGCCCCTAGCTTTGAGAGCCCATGACTCACCCTCCTGCACATGCATCCTTCAGATGCCACCATTTCCCTGACAACGGGTTGTGCAGGGAGGAGTGCCTAAGGGTGTCGCTGGAACTGCCAGCAGAGCTGTGAGTGGGGTAAGACCTACAGAGACCTCAGGGACGGCCCTGAGAAAGGAAGGGGCAGGAGGGGAGGAAGACCTTTCTGGAGCAGGCTCAGACAAGCCAAGGAGCTGAGCGGGAGGCGCAGGCACCGAGGAGCCCCCGTAATACCCAGGGATGTCATGGACAGGACTGCAGGAAGCAGTGGGCTCACCCACTGGGGAGCATCAGGGGGCCCCCCGGAGCCTGCTATCCTCAGGATGCCCCAAAGGGGGAGCCCACGCAACCGCTCCCTCACTCCCTCCACGGCAGCAGCACCTGTGCCCCGCCGCCTCCAGCGGACTTTCCTGCAGGCCAGACGTCCCCCGTTTCTCCGTAACGTTCCTGTTCTTTGCTCCCTGGACCTGCCTATGCTTTGCACGTCCTGGTTCCAGTTCCTGTTACTCCCAAATAAACTTTCTGCTGGCAGAATAAGTGGCTGTCTCATTCAGGCTGATGCCACGTGGTGTCCGGAAGTGGGGTCTGAAGGAGCCCCTGCCTCTGCTCCTCGAGCCCTTCCCGCTCATCTGGCAGGCCTGCCCTGGGTTTGAGCCCTCGCTCCGGCTGAGCGCTCCAGCTTTGGGAGCGTGGTTTCCTTTTTGCTGCGTGTGCAGAGGCCTCGTCCCTGTGCTGAGTGCGCATCTTATCTCCCTGGTGGAAGCGTGCTGGAATTTGGGTAAAAACTCCTTTGGAACTGGGTTTCTAGGAATTTTTTTTTCTTGAGAAAACCTCTGAGAAGTGGGGTCCCGGTCGCCCACATGCTCTAAGGGCGGCCCCCCTTCAGGGGCCCCAGCTGGTTTCATGCTGAAAAACTGTGCTCCCTTAACTGAAAATAATTCAGAACACCAGTGGCCACCACAGGGAACTCTGGGCCTCCCCAAGCTTGTTTCTTTCAGAACCGAATCAGAAAGCTGTGGCCCTGAGCCTACACAGACTGAAGGGGGTGCTCACTTTTCTCTCTGATGGAACTGCTGGGGGTTGGGCCCAGGGCCTCCCGCACGCTCAGCACGCGCTCTGCTACCCTCCCTGCCTGCGATGCTTATTTTTTGGTACCTGAGGCGTCTAAGGTGGCCTCTTCGCGAAATAGCACTCCTAAACTAACTGACGCCAATAAACAAAGGATGAAGTGGCTTCTGACAGAAGCCCCCCTCCCCTCCTCCTGTGGCCCTAGCACCACCTTCCCTGCCCCTCTGCCCACGCTCGCCCCCTCTGTGCCCCCCACACCCTCCTTCTAACCCTCTTGCTGACCTCCCCCTTTTCTCCAAACCTCTCTTCGCTTCCCCCTCCCCTGAGCTTATTAAGACCCACCTATCTGGGGGTCCAGACGCTAAATTCTTAGTTTTTACGTTCCCTAAGTCAAATAAAGTTGAGTTGCAAGCCACAGTCCAAGGTTTCCCAAAGGTAAGTCAGGATGCCCACAGGTTTGCTGAAGAATTTAACATTATTCCGTCTTACCAACCTGGCTTCTCAGATTTGTGTCAGTCCTCATCATTGTCGGTGAAGGTTGGGCCCAACATGGCATGAAACTTGCCAGATGGGGAAATTCTGGAAGGGATTTGGAAAAACAGCCCCTGACTGTTGACAGGAGGCCCGAGGACGTGCCGGAGATCTTTACCGAACAATTTCAAACGTCTTTCCTCAGCCTGCTGACGGGGACGCACACCGTCGGGCTTGCAGGGTAAGACCAACACGCCTGACCACGGCTGTCAGAGCCGACTTCAGGTTGTCTTGAAAGAGAACTCCGGGCTTCCTTGGGAGGCTGAACCCACTCAGGTAGACTTCAGCTCTCTCTGTTCACTGACAGACAGAATGGGGATCTGTCCCTTCTGGTTAAAAGGGCCAGGACGGAATGGGATGCCGTTTCTACTCCAGATTTAGTTAGTTTAGCCAGGCAACTCACCTGTACCCTAGAGAATTCAGCCAAAAGACCTCTGAAACCCTCAACTTCCAACAGCAGCAAATGGAAGCCCCCAAACAGAAACAAAACTCTCCTGGTTCCTGCTACTATTGCCGAAGAAGCCAGAACACTGGAGAACAGACCGTCACAGGCCCGAGCGCTTCAGGCGCCTCAGCCTCTCCCCAGCCTTCCCAGCGCCGTCCAAACCTTCTCTCACAGGGCATGTCCCATCCCGCCCTCAGCAGCTCAGAGAGACCCCTCTCCGGATGGGGAATGAGTCTCTCTCTTACTGACACCAAGGACCACGCTTTCAGTGCTCAGCTCCCTGCGAAAAAGCAGCCCCTGCCTCGGAGAACAAATACGGTCCAAATAGTAGGGTCTCCGTGAACCCTAACAGGGCCCTGTCCCAGAACCTGCTCCCTCTGGTTTAGGCCCTTTGAGAGATATCCACCCGTTCCTCCTTAGCTCCTCTGCCCCATTCAAGATGTCTTAGAAAATAGCGTGCTGGAATTTTTCGTACCAAAGAGGGAAGTAATTCTAGAACTTGACGGTAACAATCAGAACGGCCAGCCAGCTGAACTAAGTGGCCCTCCGCCATCCGTGCTTGGCTCTGTCTCCGACGGCCCTGGCGCTCACTAACCATCTGTTCCTACTGAACAGGCTACCATGCTCCTCAGGGGCAAAATCCCCAGTGATTCTCCCATCAAGATTCCAGTAGGTCCCTCATAACCTCTCCCCGGAACTAACCCCCTATAAGTAAAGAAGCCCTTCAAGGTATAAAGCCCATAGGAGGATTACAAGGCCCAGGGCCCCATTACCCCTGGCACCAGTCCCTGCAATACTCCTATTCAACCCGTGAGAAAGCCTAGTGGCCTCAGATGGAGGTTTTTCCAGGATCTCCAAGCAACAGTCAGCACTGCTACCCCTTGACACCCCGTTCTTAACACCCACATTCTACAAGCAAGCCTTCCTACTGAAAGCAAAAACGTCCCCATAACTGATCTGTGCAGTGCGCGCTTCAGGACTCCAGCTGAGGCTGCCGCCCAGGATCTTCTGCCCTTCACCTGGGAAAGATGACAGTGCACCTGGACAGGAATGCCCCAGGTTTTGCAGAAAATCCCTCCTGCTTCCCACAAACCTTGAGCTCTGATTTGGATGATGACAAGTTTTCGCAGGCTCAACTTTGTTACAACGTACAGTTGACCTTTGGACTGCACGGGTTTGAAGTGTGCAGGTCCACGTAGAGGCGGTTTCCTTTTTCAGTAAATACTACGGTACTGCTGCTTGAATCCACAGGTTCGGGACTGCAGATGCACAGAGCTGATTGTAAACTTATACGTGGATTTCGACTGTGTGTTGGGGGGCACCCTGAACCCCCACATCATTCAAGGGCCAATTGTATAGATGATTTGCTTCCCAGCTCCCCTTCTCGAACCTCTTCCTAAGAAGGCAGCACCCACCTGTAAGGGCTTTTGGCCTTGAAGGGACGTAAAGGCGCCAAGGAAGGGCCGCAATTAGGCAACGTCAGGATTGCTGTTTAGGGCACAGGATCTTGAAACAAGGATGATGTTTGCATCCAGGTGGGTTTCAAGATATCTGAACTTCCCCAAACCGAAAACTAAGCCCCAGTTATGAGACTTTTTTAGGGCTAGCTGGCTACTATTGAAATAACTCACTTCCTTTTTTTAGGTACAAACGAATTTTCCTCCCCGTTGTTTCTACTCACTTGCCTGTAGTTTTTCCATTGCGTGCTTATCCCAAATTGTAATTCTCTGCTATAACTGAAGGGGCCCATTTTTCTGGTACAATAACGGCCTCTTTTACTGTTAAGGCCAACACCTCCAATGAACTTTCCTACAAAGCACCGCCTCCCGACTTCCCTTTTTTCTCTGTAGTAGTTCCTCTCCTGGGTCACTGGCCTTCCTATTGTTTCCTATACTTTTCAAGTCTTTACTCGCCTCCTCATTTTGCTAAACTGGCAGCTTTATTTTTCAGGCTGATAGGTCCAATGGATGAAAACTCCCAGAGCCGCCCTGCCCTCCACTGCAGCTGGACCGGTCCTCCCGCTGAGCCGCCCCACTGCCCCCGTCTCCCTAGGGCCCGGCCGGGAACCCTCCTCGAATCCACCCGGTGGGGCGCGGGGTCGAGCCCGGGGTCCGGGTGCGCAGGAACTCCCTGCTAACGCTGCGGGCAGGTGGGACACCTGCCTGCGGTCACCGCAACCCCGAGAAGGCCCGGCC